AAAGGACAGTTCTTAAAAAAAGTTGACGAAACATTTTATCAGTAGAAGTTATTTTTAAAAAACTAAGTACACTGTAAAAATTCCGGATAAAATTCCGGTAAAAAGTACCGGCAATCATGGTGTCGTTACATTTTACTGTGAAATCATCCATTTTTATCGGAACATGTTACAGAGCAAAAAATCTATTACATCATAATTTTTACGGTGATAATTATCTTAAAATTACTGAATCACTCTAACTAAATAAATATTGCTGTTTATTGCATGCAATAAATATTGCTGTATATTGCTGTTTATTGCATGTAATAAATATTGTTGTACATTGCTGTTTATTTCATGTAATAAATATTGCTGTATATTGCTGTTTATTGCATGTAATAAATATTGCTGTATATTGCGGTATAATATTTTAAGGTAAAAACGGATTTTACGGATGATGTACCTAATGTGCCGGTACTTTGTACCGTAATTAGATCCAGAATTTTTTACCGAGTAGTTATTTTTATTATAATATATTTATATTTAGATCTGAAGTAAAGACACGGAGCTTTTTTGAAGCCTGAATTGTAGACAACAGAAAAAATATATTTTAAAGACTTTGCATTTAAAACAGACAATGTTAAAGTTACAATATGAATTGTATGATTGATAGCAACTATATCACGGGAAATTTGATATCAAACTTCCACTTAAAAATAAAAATATGTATTAATTAGGTCTTCAGTGTAAAAAAATTCTGGATCAAATTACGGTATAAAATACCGGCTCTTTCTGTTCCTAATCCATAAAATTAATTTTACCGTAGAATCTATTTTATCTTAAAATATTAAACTGATATTTCACAGCAATTCTTATTTAATTAGAGTAATTCAGTGGTTTTATGGTAATTATTTCTGCAAAAATTGCGGCATATCAGAATGTTTCTTCCGTAACATGTTTCAGTAAAAAATGGACTTCACGGTAAAAAGTGCCGACACCCTGAGTGCGGATATTTTTTACCGTAATTTAATCTGGAATTTTTTTCAGTCTAGTCTCTTGAATAAATGAGTTTTTTTTTAATAAATGCTTCTATAGAGAATGAACAGAACCTGAACCATTTAAGAATCTGGATTCAATTTTAATGTGATGAAAAAAAATTTGAAGTTAAAAAATGTGATACAAAAAAAATCTTGCAATATATTTACATTTTTATAAAAATCAGAAGGTGATCCAAGTTAAAGATAGATAAAATATTCTCCTTTGTAGTTTTAATATATACAAAGCTCTGCATATGCTGCTGAGGTTTTCTTTTTCTGCATAATTTTCTTTTGTTTTTTCTTTCTTTCTTTCTGAATCTCTAGGGAATTTTTCTCTTTCTTTCCAAACATACCAAAATCTATGAATAAGTGCTTTCATTGCATGTTTAGAAATAAAGAATTACTTATCTTTCTACACGCTTCAATGAATTATCGATTATACATTTGATATATGATTAAAAATTGAATTAGAAGGAGTGGCGCCGATAGAAGGTTTTCCGATAACTCTGAGTAATAATTGGGAAGAAGAAATGCCTACTGTTTTGAATAAGCTTATAACACTAATTGATTTCCTGGTAACTAGCTATTTCGAGAATTTTATTCTACAAGATGTTTTCTTAAAATATGTATTAAACATTGATCTGGTTCATTCATAGAATTCGATGCATAAACATATGAGTGATCTTTGATTATATGGAAAAGCTTTTTTTATTGTTCTGGTTATAAATAATAAGACCTTGCTTATTCGGAGTTCGGTAATCTTAATGCCTCTGTTAACCAATTTCTTTTCCTTTTACTCTGTTAAAATTTCCAGATCAAATTACGGTAAAAAGTACCTGCACTTTTTACTGTAAAACCTATTTTTAATGGAACATTTTACGGAACAAAAAATCTGATGTATTGTAATTTTTACAGTAATAACTATTGCAGAATCACTGAATCACTCGAATTAAAAAATATTACTGTAAAAAATACGGTGTATAATGTTACAGTAAAAATAAATTTGCGGTAAATTGGATTAAAGGGATGATACATCTAAAAAGTACCGACAGATTTCTGCAGTGTAGTTTTTTTTATTTTTTATTTTCTCAATTTTAATGGTTAGGTGTCATAATACGGTCATACATGCGGTTTTCAAGGTAAAAAAATACTCTTTTTACTGCAGGACTATATAGAGTTGATTATTTTATGTGACAACAAATAAATGTTTTGTCTATTGTTAAAATTAATTGCTTTAGTTTTACTTAAGAAATCTTACAGTTATTATTGTCGTTGTTTAATTGTTCATCTCTTTATTATTAATGTAGTTTGTTCATCATTTAGTTTTGTTAACCAGAATTATGTTTTTTTCTTGTCATCAGAAAAGTCATTACCATACATTACGGTAATTTTACCTGAAGCAGTTGAAAGACTCGTAAAAGCAAGTAAAAGCCTCACAGAGCTTGCCAAGGAATATAAATTAATGAAAAAAGCTTCAAATTTAGAATTAGATGCAGCTTTCTACAAATGTTTCATTAAAAAAAAGTAAAACTGTTATGGGGGAGGGGGAAATTTATGAATTGTAAGAACTCTTTTTATTTGGTATCTTTTACAGTCGGTTAAATTTTTTTATATAAAACAAATATCTTAGAACGAGATTTTTCAAAGTAATTTTTTAGTTTTTAGTAATTTTCAATTCAAGGCATTTAATATTAATGCGCAAAATATTATCGAGTAATTCCGACTCTGGCTTAAGAATGTAAGAAAACTTTAAAAGTAATGAAACTATTTTTAAAGTACAAACTGTTGAAGTGGGGACTCTTCAGGGAAACTTTTCCTGATTTCTACTTTACAAGAGATATTTACTGATTCACTTACACTAGTGTAAGAAACGATGCAACCCTCTCGAACTTAAATCATAACAACCTATTAACAGCCGCTGGGATACGATACCTGCAGCCGTTGCATGATATATGTAGCAAATGTTTTTACAACCGTAAAAGTGACAAAGTGAATTTTGGTCAGGAGGCGAAAATCCCATTTAAGCAAGGTGTTAAAATGTCTGGTATGAGCACTTAAAAGAGTTACTGTCGAGACGTTGTAAAATTATTCTTGAATCCTACTTGTACTTGAACACTTGAGGGAATTTCACACTTTAATAATAAAAAAGAGTAATTGCGATAAAAAAAGCTTTTCAGAAATGCTTCGAAAGTCGTGACTTAGATAAATTATTTAGTTACAGGCTTTAATTTAATCAAATTTAATTAGTTAATATGATGACGTCAATAAAATAATTATTCTGATTTTAAATTCATCAAAATTGATACGATCTCGAATCCTACTTGTACACTTGACGGAATTGTACACTTTAATAATAAATAAGATTTATTGCGATAAGAGACTGCTTTTCAGAAACGCTTTGAAAGTCGTCACTTAGATAAGTTATTAAGTTGTAGACTTTAGTTAAATCATATTTAATTAATTATTATGATGAGGTTTAATAGAATAGTAATCCTAATTTTTAATTTATCAAGTATGATATGATCTCGAACCCTATCTGTACTTGAACACTTGAGAGAATATCTCACTATAATAATAAAAAAAAATTACGATAAGAGATTAGTTTTCAAAAGTGCTTTGAAAGTTGTAACTTAGATTTATTAATTTGCAGGCTTTAACTAAATCAAATTTAATTAGTTGTTGTAAAGACGTTAATGGTATAAGTATCCTGATTTTCAATTTAAATAATCGTTATCTATCAAAATATGTTTGATACATTTTATGAATGAACTGAACGCTTCTGAGAAATATTATTTTAAAATTAATTAACAATATGCAGCTAATTAAGAATTTTTCATGCATTTCGAAATTTTTCAAATCGACATCAGGATCTACTAGGTTTTATAATATGCAGAAAAAAAGTGCAACTTTGTACTCATTTATACTGTTTGTACGAATTTAGACATCTGAAATTGCCATCACACATTTTTTTGAAACTTTTTATTGTCAGTTTTGTAATATCAAAAATTAAGTTGATGTAGTAAACAGCTTTAATAAAATACGGGTTTTATGAATGGAAACTATGCAGGGAGAAATACATTCTGGCAAAATTACCGTACTGTATGGTAATGGCATTTCAGGAAAAAACAAACAAACATAATTCTGGTAATAAGAACCGAGATTTACGTTATTTAAAGCATTCATTTGATAACTTTGCTGTCCAGATAGTAATGGTTTAGCGGAAATCCTGTTTTTCAAAATTATGGTTCTTATTACCACACTCTTAGTTAAAAAAACATAACCCAATCGTAAATTTAACCAAATAAATGGTTTTTTATGCCATGTTCTAAGGTATCATGATGAAATCACCAAATTTATCACATATTATAGAAGCATATTTAAGAGTATTTTTACCAAAATCATTACCAAAGTGCTATGGTAAAAATTGCCGAGTTTTTTGATGTTCTTATATAGCCAAAGACACGGTAAATTTTGCCATATTCTGGTAGTTTCGACCATACCTTTTTTTAATGGTAGTTTTTTATCTATGAATAAAACTCTTGATTGCGCATATAGGCATAAGACCTTGTAGATTAAAAAATATAAGTTCCATTTATTAATTTTATTTTTTATTCAATTTATCACAAAATATACACAATAAACAATGTTCCACTTATCTGCATATAGGTACTTATAAATGGATATAAGTATAAAGTAGCACTTTTGTTACATTAGTATGTAACTTTTAAACTATTAGCCCCATAGACATTAATTTTGTCTTAGTCGATTTAGAGTAAAAAATACACTCATGGACAAAAAAATTAGCGCACTTAGAAGGAGTCGTCAAAATGAAACAAAATTTTACATACGTAATGACTACTTTAGTATAAGTAAATGATTAGAAAATCAACGAAATAGGATAATTTATTTCAGAGAAAAAGGCTAAAGAACGGAGGAGTTAATACCCCATTGGACCCCCTGTAGGGCGATTGCACGATAGGATACGATCGGGCATTGAGGCATACAAGTTCTGTATGATGTCTTGAGACATTTCGTTCCATATTTGCTGTAACCTTGCCTCTAGTTCATTCAAACTCGTGGGATGCCCAACTCGCAATCCCAAATAATCCCAGATATTCCCGATTGGGGACAAATCTGGGGATCGGGCAGGCCAAGGAAGGGTAGTAACAGTACGGAGAAAGTCTTGTGACACCCTTGCCATATGAGGCCGAGCATTGTCTTGCTGAAAAATGGCTCCTGGGAGCCGTTGTATGAGTGGCAACACATGTGGTTGCAGGATTTCCTGGACATACCGCCGGGCTGTCATGGTGCCACGGAATAATACTAGGGGCCCCTGTGTCTTCTCGAACCATACGAAGGCGCCTGGCTGAAGGACAGTTGGTATCGCAGCGCCCATTACGTGTGCTGCTCATGACGCCCACCTATCGACACCTCCGTTTGGAGTTTTGCAGCGCACGAGGAAACTGAATTGCAGTGGAATGGAACCAGGTCGTCTTTAGCGACGAATCCAGATTCAATCTCAGCTGTGATGACAATCGTGTTCGTATGTGGAGACCCGTGGTGAACGTCTTAATCCTGCCTTTGGTGTACAGCGAGACACCGCTCCCACAGCTGGTGTGATGGCATGGGGTGCCATTGTCTACAATACACGGTCACCCCTAGTATTGTTCCGTGGCACCATGACAGCCCAGCGGTATGTCCATGAAATCCTGCAGGCACATGTGTTGCCTTTCATGCAACGGCTCCCAGGAGCCATTTTTCAACAAAACAATGCTCTGCCTCATACGGCAAGGGTGTCACAAGACTGTCTCCGTACTGTGACTACCCTTCCTTGGCCTGCCCGATCCCCAGATTTTTCTCCAATCGAGCTAATCTGGGATCATTTGGGACGGCGAATTGGGCACTCCACGAGTTTGAATGAACTAGAGGCAAGGTTGCAGCAAATATGGAACCAAATGTCTCAAGACATCATACAGAATTTGTATACATCAATGCCCGATTGTATCGTATCGTGCATTCGTGCTAGAGGGGGTTCAACGGGGTATTAACTCCCCTGTTCATTTGCCTTTTTCTCTGAAATAAATTATCCTTTTTCGTTGATTTTCTAATCATTTACTTATATCAAAGTAGTCATTACGTATGTAAAATTTTGTTTCATTTTGATGACTCCTTCTTGGTGCGCTAATTTTTTTGTCCATGAGTGTATATCCAAAACAATACATTACTTGTCTATATAATAATGGTTAAGTTCCTTTCTATCTCAAGAGTTTGTAAAATAGGCCTTTTCTCCATATATTCATGACTATTTTGTGAAAAAAACACCTTATAAACAAAACAAAAAATATCAAATCTATCTAAAATATAGGATCTATCTCAAAACATAATGATAACTGAATGAAAATTAAAACTTATGTTTTTATACCGTTCTTTTAGTCTAATTTGTTTTGAGGGTATTTGTTAAATATTTTTAGATTTTATTTTAAGCGTTTTTAAAAAAATAATTAAAAAAAGATAGGACATTTTAATTTCAAAAATTTTTTATTTTTCTAAAATCTGATCGACAAGAAGGCTGAAAATGATAAAGAATGCATATTTTCGTGCAAAATGAACCAAAAATGTTTAAATCAAGACATGCCAATTGTAGTTACAATAGCTCAATTTTTTTTTTAAAGAAAGTAAATAAAAATTATTTTTCTAGAAGATAAGTGAGTATTTTATAAGGTTTAAAAATTCATTTAAAAATTCTACCAATGTTGACACTTGACATACATTTAAAAAAATATATATTTTCAAAAATGTTTAAAAAAATTGTTCCGATTATTTGAAAGAGAAATTTGTTCATCGGTCAATAACAGTGAAAACAGGCAAAATATTTCAAACAAATAAAGCATAGTAGTTTGTCAATAGAAATGAAAATGCAAACATCATTTTTATTAATTGCCGAGTAAATTCGTTTAGCAATTTGTGTTCATTAAAAAAAAAGAATCGTAAGCCAAAATGAAAAAAAAAATTATAATTTTTCGTTTCAAATTTCTACTATATTTTTTGCAATGAAAGTTAAATTCAACAAACAAGTCATTAAATTTCGTTTCTAACAATTTCCTTTTCAAATTATTATTTCCCGTTAAATTAAAAAAAAATATTCCTTAAATTTTAAGCTTTATTCAATTACCTGAACAATTTTAAAAACTAAACATGTAAATTGTTTCGCTGTTTTTTAATCTTATAATCCCTTTTTTTTTAAATGTCATTTGAATTTTCTAAATATAGGCAGTGAAATATTCAAAGTAGAAAATGCAATTTCGTTATCTCATTACAGATAATCACCAAATGCTTTGGAATATTTTTTTTCTTCTTTTATTTCGAACTGCAAAATTGATTTTGTTGGTTAAGCATCTGACATTTCCCACCCACATGTTTGAAAGCAGCTCAACGATCTTTTTGTGCTCTTTGTAGCACTCTCTTAATTCAATCCGTTCTTTTTTCCAACATAAGACACTGTTTGGAAATCAATGCTATTTTCTATGTCCCTTTTTTGGTCACTTGGACATTTTATTGTTGGACTGATGCAATTAGTGTGTTTTCTTTGATGTATGGGAATGCAGTGGAAACTAGGATTCTCTTCATAAATCTTTTTCTGACAGCATCCTAATTCCATCTGTGGTAGAAAGAATAAAATATCATTTCAATAGGTGCTTCTTTGCTTTATTTAGTTATTTATTTACACGATATCATGATTCTATGTGTAGCGAATAAATAAGAACTTTAATTGAGTCATTAATTAAGTATTTTTGTACCTATAGTTTTTTTTTATAAAAAATAAAGCAATTAGTAGGATTAGCTTCATTTCAATAACTGAGTAAATGTTTATCAAGCATTTAGAGAACTATTTGGGATTTAAAACTTAACAAAATATGTTTCTAAAATACTTCTTAGTGAAAGTTTTTAGGATTAGGTTCTTGAAACTTAAAAAAAGATATTTCCTACATAGTTTTTACTTTAATTTACAGGAGGCTCGAATATTATCGCAGAGTGAGTTTTAAGTGATTCGTGCTATAAAATGTTGGCAAAGAAAAAAAGACTGTGCCATCTAAAACTTTAATATTATTAAAAATGAAACAACGCGCTTCCATTGTTGAGCAGTATTTTGAGCAATATATCAATTTTTGTTCAGATAATCCCCGTTATTAAAATTATAATTGACTACCCCGATTTAACGCTGTTTTACTAATTTTTGAGGAGATTTTTCCTAAGTTTGCTGTTAATGTGAACATTATAAAGATTAACCATACTTTGATAGATAAAATAGAGCTTAGTATCAACAGAATCAAGTCACATTCAAGCTAAACGGCTTTTGAAAAATTTCCATATGGTGTGTATGCGACGCCTAACTCCTTTTTCCCTATTGTTTGACACGCTGTTCCATACATAACTAGGCACTCTATGATTTATGATCTAATAAAAAGTTCCTAATTTTTAAATAAACAACCTCTGTTTCTTTTTAAAATTATTTCTTTGCAACTTTTGGGACATTCTCTGTAATAATCATACTATTTGTTGGTCAATAAGATTTGGAAGCATAATTCAAAACGCGTCAGCATAACGACTTAGTAAATTCATTTTAAAATCATCCACGCTCCTAGAGCAGAAATAATTATTAATTTCGATTAATGCCTTAACTCGATACCGACGAAAACTTATCGACAAGTTTTAAAGAAATGCTGCTGAGAGTTCCTAATGCTTTCTTCTAGTTTTGAATGTATTTCGTAAGATACTTCAAACTAATTTTCGAAGTTGCGCCAAATATAGTTTGAAAGATTGCTTGAAAACTATTTTGAATACTGTCACATATAAGGCTAGTTACGGAAATGTTTACGTTAATGCATACTTCTTGATTAGACTCTTAATTTTTTTTCTGTTTCTTTGTTCTTATCTCTAAATTATCCTGATACTTTAAGCATAGTCTGCGGCAAATATTTTCTTTAAAAAAAGTTTTAATTATTGGCTATATTTAGAAAATTAAAGCAAATAACATTTTATATTATTTTATAGCCGTTGAACATCCGACCCAATATTTGAGTTTACGACTACTAACGTTCAATTCCGTAGCCTTGTAATTTTGAACCCAATCCAGAAAACAAGGGAACTCCTGGATCAAGCATTGGGAGAAATTTGCCTTCGTGGAGGACTTTTTGATGGAGCTAACCAGCATTTTCGTTACATGGAGAGGAAGACCACGAGAACCTCCCACGGTTAGCCTGACGGCAAGGGGACTCTTACCCATGATCCGTCTACCACTGAGGATATTTCACGTCAGCACTGCGGTCAATGCAAGCCGGATGCGGAATTCGTATCGACCAGCCATCGGCGGATCGAACCCCGGTTCATCTGATTGGAAGACGAACGCTCTACTTCCTGATCCATCGCGGTTCAAAAATCTCTTGCATCATTTAGCTGGTAATAACACAAAATTGTATTTCTTATGTGAGGGTTAAGTAATGTAATCCCGCTTTATTTTTGATTAATTCAATAATGCTATTAACAATGCATTTAAACGAAATATTTTATTAATTAAAAAAAAGATTTTTCTCGGCAAATTTAAATTATCAGTATTGTTGCATCTACACACGATAGAAAAATCTATATTTTTATCTTGTTATGCAGTACATAAAAAAACGATATTGCTCGCTTAAAAAGACAATATTGCTGAGACACATCAAAATGCAACTTACCATTCGAGGCTAGGTGTCTCAAGCCTCGAAATGGGAAGTTGCATTTTGATGTGAGCATATATCAGGAAACGGTTTCGTCAAAACGTTTCGTTTCGGGTCAACGGTGTCGTTTCGGGTTTTACCTTCACAGTCGCTACATACTCACCTCAATATAGTTGATTGTAAAATGTACCGACAAAACTATTAATTCTTAAATCAAGAAAAAATATATTTGTTTATCTTGGAAAAAAGAAAGGAGTAAAAAAGCCAAACTATTTAATTTAAGGCTTCTTAGCGCTATATTTATCATATAAAAATTGCATATCTTGCATATTCGTACAAAATTTTGAAAGAAACAAAAATTCTTCTTGATTCAAGTTAAAGTAGTTTTGTCGGTACATTTTATAAAATGAAGTTGAATGAATAAATGAAACATAGAGTTGTAGTGACAAAGTCCGAAACCGCAAAGATGCATTATTTTACTCAAATTTCAGGGACACCCAGTCTCAAATTACTAAACATCGCTACAATAATACTTTTTCTTAAAGCAAATTTATTTTATAGCAAGATAAAAATACATTCCTCAATCGATGCA